TTCTTTCTTTTTAATTTTTTTTTATTTTTTGAGACTATTGCAGATGTTGACTAGACATATCAAGGGCCTACTGATCATATTTCATTGCCTCAGAAACCCAGTAAACATGATGCGGTAAAGGGAGGTGACATCACATGCCCACAATGGGAAGGAAGTAATAGTTTTGGGGAGCTGGTTCTGGCAGCCTGTGCCTATCAGAGACATGAGGTGGGCTCAGTGGTCCGTGTGGCTGGGGTAGGAGGCTGACCATGGGTTCTGGGAAATGAAGGGGAAGCCAACTCCCAGCTGCCTGTCCAGATGACCACAGGGGAGCTCAGTGTGGACTCCTTAATGGGCATGCCCAGCCCCCCCCCCCATACGGCATGAGAAGACACCCCGTCACTCACCCAGGTGACTGTGCCCATGACAGGGTCTTCATCATTCCTGACCTTTGGTCTTCCGACTGCTTGCCTCCTGCGGGCTTTCACTCTAAGGGAAGAAGTCAGCAGCCAGAATGGCTCAGGCACAGGTGAGCATCTGTCCCCACTCCCTGAAGGATAAGGGAGGCATCCAGACCCTGAGGCCAAACTCAGACCCTCGTGACATGCAGGTGAGGACCCCGTCCCCCTGGATGCCCAGGGGTTTGGCCAGGACTGAATGTTCATCACCGAGGCCCCTCTCACACGCAGAGACTTGTGCACGAGCCATCATCAGAGTGATTCATGGCAGCCAAAACGTCCAAGCAACCCAATGTCCGTCAATGAAGGAACGGACAAATCAAATGTGCCCCATCCAAACCATGGAATATATTTATCAATAAAAAGCAATGCAGTGCTGACACATGAACCTTGAAAATCTCAGGCTACACGAAAGAAGTCAGTCACAGTAAACTGTATTATATCATGGCATTTATATGAAATGTCAGAATGGGCAAATCTAGAGAAACAGGACATACTGGTTGCCTGGGGCTGGGGGAGGATGGAAGCATGAGGACAATACAGGGATGTGGAGTTTCTCTCTCTCTTTTTTTTTTCAGACCAATAAAAAGTTTTCAAACTTGATCGTGGTGATGGGTGCACAGCTGTGTGACTGAAGTAAAAGCCATTGAATCGGACACTTTAAATACATCGGAGTTTTACCTCAATAAAGCTATTACCCCACCCCACCCCCACCCACCCAGCATCCCCTCTGGATAAGCTTGTGTTGGTGAAATTCTGTGACCTCTTTCAAACCCCTAGGACCCGGCTCCCTGCCCCAGAGGCTCACATGCAAAAGAAGATGAGACACACGCACAGGGACAGCAGGGCCATGGCACCAGCACCTCCGAGAGCCGCAGGGACTGCTCCCGCCTGGGGCACGGCCTTCCCTGCAGAGGAGAGGGGGGTGAGACACCCACGCCCGGGCCTCGGTCTCTCCTCTTCCCCCTCCTCCCAGCACCCGCTGTCGGTTCTGTTCAGCCAGAGCCCAACTGAGCTCAGTGGATGAGCATCCACCTGTGAACCAGGAGATCCCGGTTCCATCCCTGGTCAAGGGCACACGCCCAGGTTGCAGGCTCCATCTCCTCCCTGTAGGGGGCGAGCGGGAGGCAGCCGATCAATGATTCTCTGTCTTCTTTGAAGTTTCTGTCTCTCACTCCCTCTCCTTTTATGAAATCAATCAAAATATTTTGGGGGGGAACAAGAGATGGAGGCCCTGGCCTAGCAATCCCCCCTGTCCCCAAGCAACTCTGGTCCCCCAGCCACACCCTCTCTCTGACCCACTCCTTTCTCCGTGGCCTCTGCCCCCAGCAGGCCCTGACCTGGCAGCAGCAGGACAGAGGCGCTCTGGGCCCCGTGCACATTCCGGGCCTCGCAGCTGAGCCTGAGGTCAGGGCTGAGCCACTCGCGGAGGCTCAGGGAGCTGTTGGTCCAGGGCCTCTCTGAGCTGGAGCTGACCGCGTGGGACGCGTTGCCATGGTTCCCCTCCAGCAGCCCCGCCCCCAGCCGCCAGCGCAGGGAGGGGGCCGGCTGGGCCCTGGAGGAGCAGCTGCAGTGCAGACCCTGGTCCTCCCAGGAGCAGGAGGGTCCCAGCAGCTGCGGGGGGTCTGTGGGGAGCGAGGAGTAGGGTCAGCGGTGCCTCAAATCTCCCCAGAACCCAGCTGTCCTGCCCCCGGGGTCTCCCCACTCACAGACCACGGAGAGGCTGAGAGAGACGCTGTGGGAGCCCAGCGGGTGGCGAGCTTGGCAGGTGAACTCTCCTTCCTGTGCAGGCCCCATGCGAGGCAGCTCCAGGATCGCGGTGCTGGAGAGGGGGGTGGTGTTCAGGCCTGGGGACTCCCGGAGCCAGCTCAGCTCGGCAGGGGGGTTGCTGTCAGCCTCACAGCGCAGCCTCAGGGACTCTCCCTCCAGGATGGGAAGGGATGTGGTTTGCAGGATCTTGAGGGCTTTGGAGAAAGAAGTGAGAGAGAGCGAGAGGGAGAGAGAGAGAGAGAGAGAGAGAGAGAGAGAGAGAGAGAGAGAGATGTGTGGACCACAGATGCAGGCACCCACCCTCCAGAGGTGAGGGACTCAGGTGATGCCTTTCATCCCTTCCCAGGTCTGATCCCATTCAAACTCCCGCTCCCCCCTCTCCCCCACCCGGGCCCCGGGGCAGGTCCCAGCCCAGAGAGGACGGGTTCTTTCCTACCTGTGTCGTTTTTGAAGGAGACGCCTATGGTGATGTTCCGAGGGGCATCTGGGATAGAAAGACAGGGCCCCACTTCAGATGGATGTCACCCCAATCCCACGGAGGGTCGGTGGGAACACTCCCCACCTACATGCACATCCATGCCCGGGTGTTCTCAGGTTAGATCAGCCTCCAGCACACACACACACACACACACACACACAGACACAGGCCACTCCCCTGCCCCCACAGACCCAGCCCCCGCTCCAACACTCACAGGAGACATTGAGCTGGATGGTTCTCTGCGTGGTCCACTGGGACCCTTCCCGCTTCACCTGACAGGTGAGGCTGGTGCCATGGTCCCGGGGCCTCGGGGTGAATGTGAGCACCGAGGAGCGGAGGGTCTGGGGGTTCAGCGAGTCCACAGCGGCTCTCGCCCAGGAGAAGGTGAGAGGTCGTCCCCCTTCGCAGGCCCCTGGCAGGCTGCAGGCCAGCTGTGTGGGGCGGCCGGACTCCAGAGGCTCCCGTACACGGATGTGGGGTTTCTCTGTCAGGGCTGCAGGGGAGAAAGGCAGGTGCCTGGGCTCCAGGGATGGGGACTCAGAGCGGGACCCTAAGAGAGGCCCTGCCTCGGGCTGAGCTCACCCAGACCCTGTGTCCCTTCTCACACCCAGGGACCAAGACCGGGATAGGGAGTGTCCAGTGTCCTGTTCCTGCATTAAGAGGGGATCCCGATTACGAGCAACTAAGATGGCGGCATAGGTAAACACCGGGAAATTGTCGCCTCACAAAACAATTGAAAATTACCGCAAAGGACTGAGCAAACATCATCCAGAACAACAGGAAGGCTGGCTGAATGTAAATTCCACAACTAGAAGGAAAGAAAAGCACGCTGAGATCCAGAGGCGCTGCGGAGGTGAAGTGCAGAGGTACGGTGGCGCGCGCGCGCGGAAAGGGGGTAGCACCTGAGGACGCGGCTGACTTTTTGAGTCACAGGCTCCTGACTGCTCTGAACTCCTGTTCCGGGAAGTCTCTGGGGACCCAGGACTCATACGGGGAGAGGCTGGTCTGTCCGGCAGCAAGCGAACTTGAGGGCGGCTTTCCCTCGGAGGTGCTTGCAGCCGTTACCGGAACACTGAGACTCGCGACTCCGGGCGGAGAATCGGCCATGGCCGCTTTCTCCGCCCTCTGACTCCCTGAGACCCCGCCCCACCCAGGCTGCGGCAGAGGCTTTTGCATGTGAATGTACCTAACTGCAGCCGAACCAGGCAGACCTGGAACTTCCAAGAGAAGGCCCAAGGCCCCGCAGCGGCTTGCATTGCTTCACAGCTGAGCCTCTTCGTGGCTCCTGCTGTGTGGCCTCAGGCAGAGGCTGAATTAGCACCTCCTTAGATCCAGGAGCCACTGTACCCAGTGATCAGAGGGGGGTCCATCCAGACTGCAACTCCTCAGATCCATAAGGGACGCACTCAGGGAGCAGACTCAGTGAGCACCAAAGCCCCACTGAAGCAAGTCTTGCCCCAGAAGGGTGTCTTCAGCACAGAAGTTCTCCCACTTTAGACACAGCTGATTCTCACAGCCAATTGGCCTGGAGGTCAATTCCTCCCAGTGATTCTACAACAACCAAGGCACCAAGAGTGCACCAAGAGTGTCCACCCCAGGTAACTGGGGAGGCTGAGCTACTGGGCCCTACAGGACACCTGGCGCACAGGGCCACTCTATCAACACAGGGAAGCTGCCAAAATGCGGAGACAAAGAAACAGGTCACAAATGGCAGAAATGGAGGAAAGCAAACGATTGGATATAGAGTTTAAGGCCACGGTTATAATGTTTTTCAAGAATTTTATGGAAACCGCCGATAAATTTAATGAATCCCTCAATAAGTATAGGGAGACCATGGAGGACATGAAAAAGGACCAACTAGAAATTAAGCATACACTGACTGAAATAAAGAATAATTTACAGAGATCCAGCAGCAGAAAAGAGGATCCCAAGAATCAAGTCAAAGATTTGAAATACAAAGAAACAAAAAATACCCAACCGAAAAAGAAAAAAGAAAAGAGATTCCAAAAATATGAAGATAGTGTAAGGAACCTCTGGGACAACTTCAAGCGTACCAACATCAGAATTATAGGGGTACCAGAAGGAGAGAGAGGGCAAGATATTGAAAACCTTTTTGAAGAAATAATGACAGAAAACTTCCCCTACCTGGTGAAAGAAATGGACTTACAAGTCCAGGAAGCGCAGAGAACCCCAAACAAAAGGAATCCAAGGAGGACCACACCAAGACACATCATAATTAAAATGCCAAGAGCAAAAGACAAAGAGAGAATCTTAAAAGCAGCAAGAGAAAGACAGTCAGTTACCTACAAGGGAGTACCCATACGACTGTCAGCTGATTTCTCAACAGAAACCATGCAGGCCAGAAGAGACTGGCAAGAAATATTCAAAGTGATGAATAGCAAGAACCTGCAACCAAGATTACTTTATCCAGCAAAGCTATCATTCAGAATGGAAGGTCAGATAAAGAGCTTCACAGATAAGGAAAAGCTAAAGGAGTTCATCACCACCAAACCAGCATTATATGAAATGCTGAAAGGTATTCTTTAAGAAGAGGAAGAAGAAAAAGGAACTCTTACCATTTGCCACAGCATGGATGGAACTTGAGAGCGGATAAACACCACAGGATCTCACTCATTTGTGGAATATAATGAACAACATAAGCTGATGAACAAGGACTGATCCAGAGACGGAGAGGCATTGATTGGACTGTCGGGACTTGGAGGGAAGGTAGGGGAGGGTGGGGGTAAGGGGGAAAGATCAACCAAAGGACTTATATGCAAGCATATAGGCCTAATCAATGGACATGGACAACGGGGGGGTGAGGGCATGAGCGGGGGTGGGGGGGTGGGGGGTAGAGGGTAACGTGGGGACAAGGACACATATGTAATATCTTAATCAATAAAAAAATATATAAAAAAAAAAAGAGGGGATCCCATGTCCCTGGGTCCTCTCCCAGGCCCCTGCAGTACCTGTCACCTGCAAATGCAGCTTCTTCTTTACGTAATTATATTTCACAGAATTCCCTCTCTCCACTCGGAAGAAGTAGCGTCCTCTGTCACTGCTCCTGGCGTCTCTGATGTCCAGGGAACAGTTGCTGGTCGTGGGGTCCGCGAGGATGAAGCGGCCTCGGGTCTCTGTCTTCACTGTTTTATTCCAGTTGCTCGAGGCCACAGCAGCATTACGGTTTGTGTTGTCCCCGACCCGGTACCAGTAGGTGTAGAGTTTACTAGAGGAATTCCACGAACTCCCTGGGTAGGAGAAGGAGCAGGGCACATGGACACACAGACCCTCCTGCACCGTCACCGATTCCTGCACTTCGATGTCATAGCCTGGAAGCTGCTGCAGGGACCCTGGGGGAGGGGGGACACAGAAGCTCAAATGCAGCCCTCGTCCCTCCCCCACCTGCCCAGCCCCCCTCCCTCAGCCACTCACCCCCCCACAGCAGGGGCAGCAGCAGCAGGGGCACCATGTCTGCCTCTGGCAGGGCAGAGTGGGTCCCGGTCCCTGTGTCAGGGAGGGAAGTGCCCAGCTCTGGGGTGGGACCTAGGATGCCCCAACAGGAAGCCCTGGGGGAGAGACTGTGGCCAGGCTGGAAGGGGAACTTGGCCTCCACAGGAGTTGGGGGTGGTGCCTGAGAAATCTTTCTGTCTCCCGCCCCCCACCCCATGACCCTGCAGGCAAATGTCCTGAGGCCCTGGGAGCCTGAGTGGCTTGTCCAGAAAGTGACCCCCTTACAGAGGATGTGTATGTGGGGACGGAGGTCACCCAGGGGCCAGCACACTCGGAGCTGGTCCTGGGGACTCGGGGGGACCCGCCCTCTGTTATAATGTACCCCGCGAATCACAGAAGGAAGCCTCAAGATGTCAAATTAAAGCGTCACATTTATTGCAATCAGGGACTAGGAGGGGGCATTTCACTCTCCCAAATCTCTCAGTGATAAGATGGCCGCAACACCAGGTTTATATGGGCAAAAATCACAAAGGTATTGATTACATCCCAGGGTTTGGAATGAGGACCCCGGTTTGCACAAAGCAATTACAGAAGCGAGATTGAGCCGATTAGTTATCTACAAAGATTAATTATAGTTTTGGGTCTTCGGACCACTGAGTTGACAGGAACACATTATCTGGAACCCTCAGGTCTTGGGATAATCGTGCTGTCCTGGTTCCCAGGTACAGAGTATTTTGCTTTCTAAAACCAGTAGGATCACAATCAATGGGATATTCACTTTACAATCAATAAGGCGTTCAATCGAATGGGATGATTTATATGATTCAGAAAATCAAAATAACTTTTCAATTGTTAAGCCAAACAGCAGGGTTAGAGTTAAACTACAGTTTCTACATAAGATGATTACTACCATACTTCACTCCAGGC